ATATATAGAAAAAAAAATGGAAAATGCACATTGCATAAATGTAAGATTTTTTTGACAGGATTTATGACTCCAAAGACTAACACCAACTGAGAAGAAAGATCTATGGGAATGCTTATTTGTGTTCTGGGGGTGCAGGAGTCTCCTATCACTGAAGGATTCTGTAACTGCTTCACACGTGTGGTTCCCATTCTAGGACAGAGCTGGCCTTCATTCTAATAAGCTCATCTAACCACTCCATTTAAACCCCAGCTAAGCTAATGGTCTAACATGCAACACTATAGAAGATGGCTGATACCATCAGTGGGGGAAACATGCAAAGGTAGTGCTGACGTGTAGACACCTGCAAAAGGTGCAAAATCATTTTGGTCCTTTCTGCAAAGCATCTCTTGATTGCGACACACCGAGGGTAACACCATCATCATTCACAAGCAAAGCAAGACCCTCTTCTCATACAACACTCCCTGGTTCTCCTGTTTTGAAATCTGTGGATTTGTTAGGTTAGTGCTGCTAATTTATCAACTTTATTGGGAAGAAATCTTACATTTCACCATTGTGGTGGATGAAATGACAAGTCTGTACCTTCGAAGTTGTGATAGCTTCTCTCAGCTGAGTTAGCCAGAGTTAGGAGCTGATCTCTTTTGCAAACAATAAAGAGGTGTGGTCGCTTGCATTGTCTCCCAACAAAAATGGCTAATAAAACGAACAAAGAAACAACCGTCTAAAACTTCTTTGGGAAATTTTAAGAAAGAGCAGGAGTCACTGACACAGTAGGCAACCCAGCACTACATCAGTGCTCCCCAAAGACAGACATCAGAGGAAAGAAACTGGGATACACAAAACTGGACCCAGCATGAACCCCTTCACAAAAAACAACAGAACATTTGATTCCTATGGGCAGGGGTAGGCAGCGCTGGTTCTCAAAGGCCATTGTCCTGCAGCTTTTGCATGCATCCTTGCTCCAATACACCTAAAATAAAAGGCCAAATTAACTTCTTGGTGGCTTGTAAGTTTATCAGAGGGCTGGCCATTGACCATTCATTTGTTTCAGGTGTATTGAAGAAGGGATGCATGTAGGACCTGCAGGACAGTGGCACTTGAGGACCGAGGTTGCCTACCCCAGCTGTAGGGTATTGTTTAAGTACTTGTACTTGTTCCTAACTTACTCAAAACAACCAAATATGCAGAATCACCTGTTAATCTCTGAGTCTTAGCATTGTGAGATCTAATATCTCAATCCAACACCTCATGGCTTTCAAAACTTTAACGGTTATATTTAAACAACTATCATCTCAAACCCTTTGGAAAAGAAACGTAGTTCATATAGTGGCTTTTATTTGAAGTAAACATGAATAGGTTTCTCTTTTTTTATGAGTGTGTACACAGCAGCACGGTCCAACTCATCTAAAACCCAACTAAAGGAGTGGCAGTATTCAAGCAGGTATATCTGCAACATAGGAGGTGTTTATTACATCTTTTGGTAAATTTATAGACCATGGGTTGACAATGTTGAAGGCATCTACACATGGTGTAACAAATAGTCTATCTTGTTTTTATGCTGATGAAGTTTCTCTAACACAGGAGATGACTCATTTTATGTCCAAACAGGCTTCAGAAATAACAAATCCAGGGAGCTGTAGATTGGTGCTCTCTGATCAAAGGTCACAGATGCTTAAACAGGTGATCTTCATTGGGTGGGGCTATGAAGCTCGCCCCACCTTTCGGAGGTAAATCTGTCTTTTCCTTGTGGAGATTCTGTGGGTGTAAGTGTCTGCAGCCTAGGTCAGCCTGGGAAACATCTTTCCGTATTTTCATATCACAGCCAAGATGCCTAAGATGGTAGGACCTCTGTTGTTTTACATACATATT